CAAAAAAAAAAAAAAAAAAAAAAAAAAAAGAAGGAAGGGCTCCATTCCTTGACAATAATTGGTATAACTTTATAGGTGCTTGATATTTATCTTTCATTTTGTGTTTGTCTTTGACGATCTGTTACTTCATCGGAATCTTCCTCGATGACGTCCACCCACACTCCCTTTGTTAGTGAATGGGCCGATGGCTGAGGGATCGCCAATTGTGATGCAGATTTTGAGGTACGCTATTCTCTTGTTCTATGGTTTCAGATAATTAAACGTTACAGATGGAGGAAATATGTGGACCCTAAAGATCATTACCAAAATTATGAACTTAATTGGTTAAATTATATGTTTTGTGTTCATTTATTTCATCTTTGAAATTCAAAAGTGTAATAAATTTTGTGTCGTATAGATTTCTAAAATATTCAAATATTTTTAAAATTGTTCTAAATGTATATTTTAATGAATAGTAAAGACTAAAGACTCGTGACTAGTTATAGAGGTCCTTTGGTAGAGGAAATAGTGTTGTTCTTTGGTTTTATCATCGGAGAAGTTTATTTCGTTGGATTTGGAGATTTTTTTAGTGCTAATGTTTATTTTTTTTAGTGTTAATGTTTATTTTTTACCATTATTTTTTATCTTTTTTATTTTTTGAGTGTTATTCTTTGGTTTTATGATCGTGGAAGTTTATTTGGTTGGATTTGGAGATTTTAGTGCCAATGTTTTTTTTTTTTTAGTGTATTCCGAGATTTTAGTGTCAATGTTTATTTTTTTTCTAGTGTATTCCGAGATTTTAGTGTCAATGTTTATTTTTTTAGTATTAATGTTTATTTTTTACCCTTCGAAGATTTTAGTGTCAATGTTTATATTTTAGTGTCAATGTTTATTTTTTTAGTGTTAATGTTTATTTTTTACCATTATTATTTTTTTTATTTTTTGAGATCAACCTCTAACACGAGAGTATATATCTTAACTAAATTAATTTACATGGTTACCGATCCAAGTATATATCTTAACCAAATTATTACAATTTGTTGTTTCGTTTTAAGAGGTAAAAAAAAAAAAAATTGAACTCTCCACTCCACATTGTTGTACTAAAAAACGACTCTCCAATCCACATTGTTGCACTAAAAAATACCCGTTTTTAACTGATTTCAAGCAAGCATAACTGCCAACTTCAACTTATCGACTATGAGGATGTATAGGAGCTATTAGAAACAGAGATTTCATTGAATTTGGAAATCCTCCAGATCCCATGAAGCAAATGAATTCAAAGGATCGTTAAAGGATTTCCAAAGACAAATTTTATTGATATTTTCAATAAGCTAATATAGTTTAGTAGGACCTTGAAATATACAAACCAGCGAAGCATCTGATCTTACAAGAATATAGAAAACTGAAAATTTTAAAAATGAGAAATGATATACTCTCTTTACCATTCCGAAGAACTCAATCGAATTTCCCGGGCTTGACCTTACAGATGCTGGATTAAGATCTCTTCGAGGAGCTATCTGAAGCTCATCCGAGATCGTCGACAACGTTTTCGTGTATTAGATACGAGCAGAACTTTTATCCTTATTCAAGTCCTTGGATGATGATCTTGATGAATGACCTGCGGTGTGTTTTCTCCTTCTTGGAGGAGCACCAACAGCACCTGGGTCCATCAAGGGACCAGACCATGTTTGGATGCTTGCTTTTGGATACGAGAAATTCATGGTGCTAAATGGAACGTCGGGAGGATCATAGATCGGATCGACGTGATGCGAAGATCCCAGTTGGTAGCCAATCGCTCCGTCTTGATGTGGAGGAGGAAACTTTTCACTCTTGCTCTTCGCATTTGCGTGTGTTATGAGACGTCGTCTCTGTAGAGAGCATCCATGAAAGTCAAATCACCAATCATATGAATTGAGCATAAAATAGATAGAAATCGAGTAAGGTGTACATACATCGAGATTGGCTTGAAGCTCAGCATTGGCTTCTGGAGCAGGAATTGCCCGAACAGCTCGATCGCGTGCCCGTGTTCCCTTCACTCCATCTGCATTGCTTCTGCCAACAGCTCTTAGCCTGCACTCACACAGCTCAATCAAAGTCAGAAAAAATGTAAATACATTTTATCCACTGTTTATCCTAATATTTACGAACAAGATGTTGGGTCTTAATCGGTCATCGACCTTCTAGCTTCTTCATCCCGTAGTTTTGCATCCATTTCCTTGCTTGGAGGATACTTAGGAAGACTGGAAGGCTCACAAGCATATGGCTTTGTAGTGAAAAACTGCAAAAACAGAACAAAGTTCACAAAAATGTCTATGAACAAGAGAAATAAAGCAAGAACTACAAAAAAAAAAAAAAAAAAAAAAAAAAAAAAAAAAAAAAAAAAAAAAAAAAAAAAAAAAAAAAAAAAAAAAA